ACTTTGAAATTTTATCGTCAATTGTCAATCCCTTAGTGTCCGATTAAAGTCTGGAAATCTGTGTGACGTGACCGGCCCCACCACAGCTGTTTGCTGTTTAGATTTATTAAGAGAAAAAGAGGGAAAGGAAACGGGTGCCAGGAAAGTGAGAGAGAAAGTGCCCGATGGCCACATACAGGAATTGTTTTCTTCTTCTGTCAAAGGCATTCAAAGGTCAAAGTCACCAGAGTCACCCTGCATTACAAAAAATGAATAATCCAGAATGTTCCAGAGGTCCTTCACGCATCCTCATACCACTGCATGTGACATTTAAAACGGAATGGCAGTGTTATATCTGGCCTGGAAATGTGGGACCAATAAATGTTGTGCGAGAGAAAAGAGAGGGAGTTTGTGTGTGCATGAAAGAGAGTTGGTAATAGACGTGGTGTATTGTCTCCGTGCAGATTGGCTTAAATGTGCTCATTTTCCCCATTTGGCAGCTCCATAGGGAGGGGCGGAGTGCACTAACGAACCTCTGACAGCTGGAGGCCCTAATTAACGATCCCCTCTGAAAACAAACAGCCACAGGCTCCGCCAAACACACACCCAGGCTTGGTTTGCTCCCGCACCCCGGCCTGAGCCAAATCCCACCGCATACAAGCCATACATGCAGTTAGGATGCACGTCATTGTTGCTATTGGAACAACATTAGTATTAAAAAGTGAAAATTCTGTAATTTTACTCATCCTGTCATTCCAAAACATTGTTATCGTTAATTAAAAACTATTTTCTAAACATCGGTAATTTATATAAAGTTGAAATAAAATAAAATATTAGCTGAATGAAAAACTGAATAATCCATTTCTATTTCAGTTTTTTTCTATTCGGAATACAGAATTTCTTAAACTTAGTATTAAAATTACTAAAACTGAAACAAAAATATTTTTACTTTTTTTTCTCACAATTGCGATATATAAAATCACAATTGCGAGTTATAAAGTCAGAATTGCGAGATATAAACTCACAATTGCGAGTTATAAAGTCAGAATTGCGAGATATAAAGTCACAATTGCGAGTTATAAAGTCAGAATTGCGAGATATAAAGTCACAATTGCGAGTTATAAAGTCAGAATTGCGAGATATAAAGTCACAATTGCGAGTTATAAAGTCAGAATTGCGAGATATAAAGTCACAATTGCGAGTTATAAAGTCAGAACTGTGAGATATAAAGTCACAATTGCGAGTTATAAAGTCAGAATTGCGAGATATAAAGTCACAATTGCGAGTTATAAAGTCAGAATTGCGAGATATAAAGTCACAATTGCGAGTTATAAAGTCAGAATTGCGAGATATAAAGTCACAATTGCGAGTTATAAAGTCAGAATTGCGAGATATAAAGTCACAATTGCGAGTTATAAAGTCAGAATTGCGAGATATAAAGTCACAATTGCGAGTTATAAAGTCAGAACTGTGAGATATAAAGTCGCAATTTTGAGAAAAAAAGTCAGAATTGCGAGATAAAATATTGCAATTACCTTTTATATTTTTTATTCTGTGGCGGAAACAAGCTTCCATAGTAACGGCATACATTGCATTCTTCGTATACGTATATATTACTTATACAGTTCATGCATTCCCAGAGAAGCAAAGCGATGACCTTGGTGTTGCTAGCATTGTTAAAACTGCTGTACTGTTTGAGCTATAGGAAACTGTTTTAGACCAGCTTTCAAGGCACAATAGTAATCTTGGCAATGAACAGCGAATGTCTCTCGTTCTCAGTCTAGTAGATGTGATGCTCTTTACTTTATAGTTGACTTTCAGAGCAGAACGAGACCTTCTCTGATGCCATTGTACGTTTGCGAAGGGCATGAATGCCGGCACACCTCACATCAAGGTTACGGAGTTAATTGAACAATTACGGTGGACAGGACCTCCATTATGTGTGTAGAGATAGTGAGGATGCTGAGCGAGATCCTGCACGCGATTAGATGAAGCATGATAGGCTAAAGACCAGCAATCACTATGTGTGTGTGGTACAGTTGCTAATGCTAATTGCACTCTTTCACTTGTAAACGTTTTGTTTGTCCATGTGTGCTTCTGATATGTGGCAAATTTTGAGCAAATGATGTATTACATACAATTTATCAGCCATTTTTAGTTCACACGCTTCATTTAGGTATCAACTTTGTCTCAAAAATGTTTTTTAAGAACTATAAATAAATATGGAACATGCTCGGGTCAGATTGGTGAGAAATGCTTGTGTTTGAGGTTGGTATCTTGCAAATCTAAACACATTTTCAGACCTTGTTGTGATCTTATCTGAAACACTACACTGTAATAAGTTATGTTTTAAAGGTGGTGAATAAAACATGATTGGAAAATGTTTTACAAGAAAATACTATTTTAGTCTTTTTACTTAAGCATTTCATGTTTAATTTGATGTTACTTTCCCTTTCTTTGTAATTGTTTGTTACATTTACTAGAAATTTTTGAGTGATAATTGTTTGTACACCAATTGTTTTTCACTGTACGATTTATTCTGAAACAATTTTCACTAGTAAATTTAAAAAATAATTACAAAAAGCAAGTAACAGTGAAATTTTAAAGTAGAAAGACTGAAATAGTGTTTTCTTAAATTTTGAACATAATTTTTTTACAGTGTACACCTATTTTTTTTTCCAGTGTGTAGAGGAGACATATCGATTGGGAAGCGGGAGACAAAAGTCTTGCAAAAGTCTCCATTTGCTCTCCATTATATCTCATTTAAACAATTTAGACATTGAAGAGATGTCATGTGATTTTTCTTTCCTATGGGCAACAGAACATGTTCAAAGTGATGTATGATGGCTGTTAGCACATTAAAGCACATCTCATACAGTCTCGCCAGCGCATGACTAAGCTGTTGTGAGCCATGATGATGTTGCTAGTGCCTGTCATGGGATCACCTGAAATTAACGGGGCTTTATACAAGTTCGTGTCATGTCAGAGGTGGCATCGACCCATATGATGAATCCGCTGATGTTGTGCTTGTTGTGTGAGTGTGTGTACCGTGCCAGGTCAGGTCAGAGGGGAAGTGTAGGGCTGTGGCATGTAGCCAGTATGACTGTGTTGTGATTTACTCAGAGCTGGCCAGCGGGCATCTCACGCCTGTGGGTATGGCATCATGCTGCTGGAGGGCAAGCTGGCCCTTTAAATGTCATAGAGATGGGGCCAGGACAAGCACTGCGGCCAAACAGCCCTGGAAACTCATGGAATTGTGTGTGTGTGTGTGTGTGTTTGTTAATTGGGTTTTGCTGTACGGCCATGTTGGATTTAAAGAGAGAAAGTTGTTGTTGCTCTACATTTTGGAACATTAATAACATTGTATATCCAACCTAACCCGGATATATACAGTACAGGTAACTGACGTTAAGCGGTATGTACTATATAGCGTATCTCAACTACCTGATTGCTTGTATTGTTGTAAAATGTAAATTATATTATCTCCCAGTTCTAATCTGCTTAAATGCAACTATAAGGCATGTATAAAAGAAATATATTTGGTGTTATTTGATAAACCATCGCAAATACACAAATCTCAGTGGCTGTTTGAAAACACTTTCTTTATTCTCCATGACAAGTTGGGGGTCAGAAACGGAAAGTTCGGCAGAGCTTTGTTTGCCGAAGAAACCGGGGAATACCGATTAAGCACCATCTACTGCCAGAGAGTAAATTTGCATTTTGATTCAGCACGTTTTAAAAAAAATTTACACATTGGTTTACGAACAGACAAATCACATGCAAAAATCAGACAAAAGTTTCATTAATAACATACATGCTTGTGTGAAGAGGTCTTCAGTCTTGAGTAACTGACAATATTGGGTCTCATTCATGAAACACGAGCAGAACGAATTTTTGTGTAAATCGTGTGTAAAGTGGTTCTGGCGTAAATTTTCGGATTCATTAAAATGTTCGTATTTTCCAAATGTTAGTTGGTACACAAGAAATCTACACCTGCTCCCAGCCACGCGTAAATAGTGCGCTTAACACCCGAACGTTTTGCTCATTAATAAGGCTGCATTTTAATTCACCTTAATCGGGTACATATTTGCACAGCATTTTGAAAAAATATTATATATAGTAATTACATACGGTTTTTCTTATTATGAGAGCCAGTAATTGCATATGCGATGGTGGTCCTTCTCCAGTTTGAATACTATTTTTCCGAAGTGAACTAATTTGTTTTTTGCTCTCAAGCTTAATGTCGAACCATTTTCTTCTCACTTCTGGGAATGTTGGATTAACAGATGAAACTCCATTAACTGCATCTGTAATATGCTGCCAAGCTTCCTTTTTTTTAGGACCCGATACGCCACTATGTACGCTTGAAAATAAAATGTGGCGTTTTGAATCAACTTCTGATAATAAAACTTCAATTTCTGCATCTGAGAATTTTTTTTTTCATTCGTATTCATGTCATAATATGATGCCCATATAGTTGTCAGTCGGATTTAATGGGCGGGATTTATGGTAATTGAGAATGAACGTGCACGCGCATCCCATTTACGACTGATTGGAATTCATTAACACACACACACATTTCACTATCACATCTGACGTTTACGAAGTATTTGTGAATCAGGAGAAGAGTTTTCGGGAAGGTCTCTTTACGCGCAAATCACTCGGATATTTACTCGTATATTTACAAATGTTTCATGAATGAGACCCATTGTGTTTAAAATGTAAGTTAATTAATAATAAAATCGTCTGAAGCTTATTTTGAAATGACACTCTTGCATGAGATATTGCGTAAATATGTAATGTACTAAATGTCAGTGAAGTATAGGCCTATACTCTAATGTATTTATTATAATAATAGTAAACAGTGTTTTTTCAACCACCAACCACCCAGATTACTGTGCTAAAAAACACTCCGAACACATTAGTATTATCATATCTTCACACTGAAACAAATCATGTCATCTAGTTAGCATCATTATAGTTTATTTCAATACTTATTTGACTGTTCTTTTGTCTTTCAGCTCTTCTGTTGGGGGTCTCGGACTGACATAGCCTCGGCCAATCATAGCCTGAGTTAGAGGTGGCGGCCCATAGGGGGCGTGATGGCGGCCATGCCGTTCGTCAGCGAGGGAAAGTGTGTGAGTGTGGAGTGGGATTTCTTACAGGGACTACTCGCCAAACCACCCACCTTACCCTGGTGAGGATAAACAAACACACACACTCACACACCTTGATGAAGAATTTTCCTGAACACACAGCTAACAATCAATTTCTCTTTCAAGCTTTTGCTTTTGCCACGGCTCAATGTAAGCCCTTGGTTTGGATCTATTAGCATGAGATTAACTAAATTTTAGTAGAATTATTAATGTCCGCTCAGCTGTGGAGGATATAAAACTAAACAGAATCAATGGCTCCGTATTGATTGAACCCTCCAGGGTCGTTTTACTACAACGATGAGATGTTCTAGCTTGGAGAAATTTTACTTGGAACAATACGGTTTATACACCAATAAATCTCACAGGGCCAAAACACTGATCGAATGACTTAACATGACACATTCAGTATAGTGATATTCTGTAGACCTGGGGCCTATACCATGAAGCCGGTTCAGGTGGCTAGCCCGATGTGTTTCAGTTTAGTTTGCACCAACCCTGGGTTTTAGGCACCATGAAAGTGGTTTGGCTTTTAGCAGTGTTCATCGCCATAGTAACTTACGCTCCACGGCTAACCTGGTCCGGGGCAGGTTATGTTCCAGGTAAAAGGGTTGCAAACCGTACTTGGATCAATCAGCTGTGAGCAAAGTGACACATGTCTGATGATGCGATAAAGTCACTCCACCTGTTTCCACTCCAAAGTAAAGATCACTACACAGCAATTGATTTTTAAAGACAAAATCGTCCGGCTTTTAGTAATGCTTATTTAGAATAATAATTTTGTATGATTTAGATATTATTTATGTAATTATTGTACCCTTAATCGATCACACATGTACAATTTTAGTTTAACAATTATTATTACGCACAGTTTAATTGAATAAATATTTAAAGGTAGTATAAATACGCTTTAGAATCAATAGATAAATCTATAAAATGACTACATGTGTGAGCTTAAATGTTACATTTTCTCTACCTTTATCAAATGTATAAACTAACTTCACAACTTTTACTTGCACTGATATAGCAAGCCTTTTTATTTTAGTTGTCCTCTTTCATAGACAGCTATTTTCTTCTTGCTGTGTAAATTGTTTAAATTTTTTATATTTTTCAATCTCGTAATATTCTGTAGTGAATTCTCTTGCGAGAAATTAATCTCAGTTTCACTCTTTCTCAGCTTGTGATTGGTTGTTCGCTACTGATGTCACACCTAAACTCCTAAACTCAGGATCTAAGCCTGAGTTGACAGAGAAAGTTGATGATCAGCATCATGGTACCAACAAAGCCTGGTTGGATTGGTTTAGTTTTGTCAACTCAAAACTAATCCTGTAACCCTGAGTTTGTTCAACTACCATCATGGTACAGGCCCCAGGAGTTCAAACTCAAGCTTTAAACTTTTCCAATCCTTGAGCTTTTATTTTCGATAGAATACTGCTGAATAGCTGTGAACTTCTGCCCACAAAAATGTTGGAAATTATACAAATATGTAAGTAGAGTGAACCTAGAGCAGGTTTGCGTTCCCCAAATGCACATGCAGAGATGGACTTCGCTGCATTTACTGTGCCGGGATGCTCTCAGACGATGAATAAACCAGATCATGTTTATTTGCATGCCGCCCTTCGCTTTGAAACACGCAGCGCATCAGACTATACAGTCATTTAATTAAATCGCAGCCTTTGATTTGATAATCACACTAAGCTCTATCGAGATTATCGTGCAACCCCATTATTTAAATTTTACATTGGATATAATTTTTATTCGTTTTTATCAATTCTCAAACCCTCTGCCGTTCCCTCGCACACACATATAGGTCATAAACTATTGTTAAAAAGCTGAATCAAATAAGTTTGCTGATTTACACACTCCTTCCCTTAAAACACAACACAGTCTTGTCTAAACAAATAAATTAGTGCTTTTTCAATTTGAGGAACTGACTCTTTTGTGTGCGCTTTTTGGCAGTTCCCTTTTATTCTGTGGGTCCCCCTCTTCACACAAACACACACACACATTTTTCCACGCCATCCCTCGCTCCCGTGCTGATGCTGCCCTGCATCTGCAGGATGAATGAGAATCAATGTCACAGACACAGAAAGAGAGCGAGCGAGGCGCGTTCGGCTCAGTCTTTCAGTGCAGTCACAAATTGTAGAGTCGCCGTGACAACATAATTCCTCCACTCAGGCCCCATTGAGAGCGAGTCGATATCCAATCAGAGCGACAGCTACCTGGGCCTGTCTCCGCGACAGCCCCTCCCTCCATTGATCCCTCAATCAAGACTGGGGCTCACCACCCAGGAGGGAGCCTGGGAAAGAGACGCAGCGACTGGATTTGGGATGGACGCTGGTGCATGACTTCTGATGTAAGATCAGGCCTCCTACCGGCTACAGTGAACCTGATCATAGGTCAGTCATCACACTCTGAGGCGCTTGGAAAAAGTGAGGAGCGCAGCTGATGGAATCAGAAAAGATCCAGAGTGACACCTTGTTGCTTATTGTCGATCTCCAGTGAGGTTTCTGCTGGAAATGACATCACACGACCTTAATAAAGTTGGCATGAAATGAAAATCTATTTTCTAAATGCTTGTTAGTAATCAAAAAGATGTGACTTCGATCTTCCGGATAAAACAACAGACTTCTTTATGGTGACGTATGCGGGACTTCTCCAATCATTTAGTCCACTTAAACTCCACCCCTTTTCTTACACTCGAACGCAAGCTCGCATTCAGATCTGCCTTCATCCAATCAACCGATGTCTTTTGAAGAGGATTGTAGATACTAAATCTCTTTTGAAATGACATTTTAATGATATTTATATATTGTTATTATTGTATGTTAATATTTTCTTCTTTCTTAGTCTCCACTTTTGACTATCCATGTGTAAGACTGCCCTTGTGTACCTTCTTTCCATTATGATATGTCCACACCATGGACGCATCTAGACAAATCAAGGACCTGGCCTTGGACACACTTATACACTAAATTTGAATATCAAAACTCTCTTACTCATTCTTATATTTCTAATATGCCATATATGAGTACTTGAGTTCTATGATTGGATGGACTGGACCTTGTGGATGATTTTGCTTTATCTTGTCTTTAAATATGACCCTCTATTCCTTAATGAACTTGAGAATGTTATGGTATTACACTGGCGCTGTGTCTACTTGATAATTCTCCTGAGATATCTTGCTTTCAACTGATGACTGATAGCTTTAGATAGTCTACCTAAAAACGAATCTAACATTGTAATCAATATTTATCACTATATATTGCTTTTATAAAATCTGAGTTTCTTATTTTTGGTTAATGCCTGCAACCGTATCGCACCCTTGATGTTATGCGCAATAAAACATACTGTAGTTGAACAACACTAACTTGCCTTCACCACCCTGTACATTATCATACTGTAGTTGAACAACACTAACTTGCCTTCACCACCCTGTACATTATCATTGTGTATTGACTGTCTTCTTTCTCCTTCTCTTCCTCTCTGTCCTGTCTTGTTTTTCACCAGCTTGCAGAATTTGAGGAAGGAGAAGTCTCGCAATGCAGCTCGTTCTCGGCGGGGTAAAGAGAACTTTGAGTTCTTCGAGCTGGCGAAGATGCTTCCCCTCCCCGGGGCGATTACCAGCCAGCTGGACAAGGCCTCCATCATCCGCCTCACCATCAGTTACCTGCACATGAGACACTTTGCCAGCCAGGGAGACCCACCCTGGAGCCCTCTAATGGAGGGAGAGAACAACTGCAACAAGGGTAAGCGTGATCATTACACCTAGAGAATGTGAAAGTTTAGATTGGCTACTTAATATGCCAAAGAAATTAGTATGGACAAACAGGTTTGAGTTTTTCAATCCTGTTACCAGAATTTGGGACATATATAGGTTGAAATATATTTTATTTTTTTTATTTTTTTTTATTAATAATTTAATAATGAATTAATATAGTAATATATATATATATATATAAAAACAGTAACAAGGTTATAACCCAAATTAATCTCAGTATTGGCAGTATTGTTTTTTGTAGTTGTTAAACTTGTATGATAAAACGTATAATGCTAACTTATATTTCACATAAATGACACACAATATTGCAATATTGGCAATTTTTCAATATTGCTTCATAAACATACAGATTTAAATGATAAAATACCTGTTTATGAAGCGATATTGAAAAAAAATGACCACAAATATTTTTCTTTAATTTATGTTAAACATAATCTCATAATTTTAATCATGCAAGTTATTTTATAATTATTTATTATTTCTAATTCATATTTTTTGTAATTATTTTATATATTTAATAATTATATATTTTATAATATAAAATTAATCTATCAGTATTGGCAACTAGTTTGGGACCGGTTGTTGGTTTGTGTTTGTTAAACTTTGTATGACAATTATTTATTTCTTTTAAATTAGGCCTACAATTTCACATAACTTTAAGAAAAATACTTTTGGTCATTTTTTCCAGTTTTGCTTCGTAAACGGGTGTTTTCCTTTTTTAGAATATTTGAAACCACAGGCCTGATTGTCTCAGAGACCCCAGGTACACAAAAAAGATGAGCGATGAGAAACTGTAAGATCCTCACTACATCTCACATATTTTGAGGTTGAGATATATGAGGCTTTCATCGACAGCATGAACCCTGACGGCGATTTGTATTTGAGGTGCCATTAACAGAGGAGATGACTTGGAGTGAACCACAACAAAACTCAATTCGAACATGACAGTGGCGGCCTGTCGATGAATACAAATGCGTTATTAATTTAAATGATGAATTTAAATGGAATAGGCTATTATTGTCTTATAGGTCGCTTGTGTACGTCACTTGGGACACTCGCGTCGAAAACTGCCGGAGAAGCAGAGAGAGCGCTTACACATGCACACACAGAACGACACACACACAGAAAAGTAATTGAGATTGCGCCACAAGAGTAATCACTCGCAGTCATGCGGAGTTAAACACGGCTCATCTGAAATAATGCGTTTGCTAGTTCACTGCCAACTTATTGCAGCATACAAACTGTATACGGATTGTAGGAGCAAAATCCACTGTCAAAGGCGTCATCGAGATACATATTCCTTTCTTATGTCTCTTTTCTGAGGGAGGCTCGCTCTGTCATTTGAGTTTTATTTGAGAGCAGGGTCATTTGGCTTCTCAAATACGCTCAGTCATTCATTACGTCCTCTGATAGGTTCATCTCAATTGTGAAGTGAACAATAGATCTAACAGCCAATTAGCCGCTGCCTGTGTGGAAGCCGGCGGGGATGAACAAAAGAGCCAGAGCCAGAGCTGAAGCTTGTTAACAAGTGGCCAGACCAAGGAAGTCTGTTTCTGAGAGATGGTCCTTTTGTAGCCCGCCTGCGAGCCTCATTATACCTGCCGCATCAAAGCGATTCGGTCCTGTTAAAATACCTGGGCGAATGTCTCTCTCTCTGCTTGCTGTTTTTGTCTGTCGGTCTCTATATTCAGTTTCAAAGCCTAGTGAGAAGCTTTGCTGTCTGCTGTCTACTGTGACTTACTAGGAGCGTGCAACAGTCAATCCTTTAAAAATGTAGTAAACTACCACCAAAATGTGGTTAATTACACTATTTAAGGGAGATTTTGATTTTTTCAAATGTATATTACCACTAATTGACATAAACTATATAATCTGATTATATATTAATAGCAGGGTTATCTGATAACAGATGAATTTATAATTAAAATATCAAAACTAGCAAACGGACTAATTAATATTAACGAGTACACTGCTGCTCAAAGGCCAGTACGATTTTATTTGGAAGAAATTAGTACTTTTATTCAGCAAGGACGTATTAAATAGATCAAAAGTGACAGAAAAGACATTTGTAATGTTACATAATATGTATATTTCAAATAAATGCTGTTCTTCGAACTTTGTTCATCAAAGAATCTTGAAAAATAAGAAGTAGTAAAAGTGTTTTCCACATTGATGATGATCAGAAATGTTTCTTGAGCATCAAATCAGCATTAGAATGATTTCTGAAGGATCATGTGACACTGAAGACTGGAGTAATAATGCTGAAAATTGTTTGCTCACAGGAGTAAATTACATTTTTAAAGTGTATTTAAAAAATTCAGCTTTGCCATCTCATAAATAAATTACATTTATAAATGTAGAAAAAATTTCAGCTTTGCCATCACAGGAATAAATTACATTTTAAATATATATTTGAATAGAAAACCTTTATTTTAAATGGTAATAATATTTCACAATATTACCGTTTTTACTGAATTTCTGATCAAATAAATGCAGAAGAGACTTCTTTCAAAAAAATTTAAAAAAAACTTACAGACCCCAAATTTGTGTAAATATAGTAATGAATAGCATATTTTTTTTATATAAATATTTTACTGCACGCAAAATAAAAAAGCTGCGGAAGGAACTGGATTGTTTATTGTGTTCCAAACCAGGATCATTTCCATGTTGGCCCAGGCTGGTTTATACTGGTTAGAGCAGCTAAACTAGTCAGCTGGTCCACCAGCACTCCCACTTCCCATGCTACCAGCATCCCTTGCTGGTCCCAGCATGCAAAACATACCTTATGCTGGATTTTTCTAAAAATGTAGCATCATTTCACACCAGCACTGTGTTCAATATAGACAGCAACTCATGTGACAAACACATAGAGCTCAATCCTCACGAGAAATGCACGGTGAGTTCACAAGAGGTTCGTGTGATGCCTTAAAGTGCTGTCTAGATAGGCAGCTCAGTAGATTTTGGAACAGAGCTAATGTCCCTCACACACCCACTCAATCAAATGCTTAGTATAACAGGATAGAAAGAAAAAACACACAAAGGGTAGAAGAAATTATCTGTGTGATTTGTAATTACAGAAATTAACTATATAACGAGGAGAGTGTAATTACAAGGGTTGTCTAATTGCTATTATTACTGAAGGGAAACAACTAGGCTACAATTAGGTGTGTGGATGTGTGTGTATTTGTGTTTGTGTAGTAGATAAACATACCTATGAGGAAGTGAACAGGGCCAGACTGATATAGGTGTGTGTGGTAGTGTGTAGACACAAATGCCACCTGAGAGTTGATGAATGTATGAGAAACCAAAGTATATGATACAGACAAGAGTCTCACATGATCGTCACACTTATCTACTGCAACAGATTGCTGAAGTAAGGCAAACCGTCCTTTTATAATACATTAGCCCACAATCAGGAACTAAAGTTCTGTTTTAAAAGAAATAAATGTCTTTAGAAACTACATGCCGTACAGTCAGCTGTAGTATAAAGGTTATTTGTGAATACCCACCACAGTATTAATAAAAAAACTGTACAGGATGATTTACTGTACAGGGCAGGGTTACTATAGTTAACTAAAACTATTAAAATTAATTTAAATAAAATAAACAAATATATATATTAGAAAAAAAAAACAGAAATGTTACTTTGGCAACTAACTGAAATAAAATAAGTTAAAGTACTAAAATTACTAAAACTAATATAAAAATAAATGAAAGCTAAATAGAAATAAAAAAAAACAAAAATTATTAAAAATGACAAAAGCACATGAACTTAAACTAAAATAATTGAATAAATGTCTTAATGTTAGTAAAAAGTAGAAAAATAAATGCTCATCTTTGCTCGCTTTTTTGACAGTATTTTGAGTAAAACGGCTCTATATTTAGCGAAGCACATACAAAAGACCTGAATATAAAATATCAATTTACAGAATATGGAAGTTTGTTGCACATAACCCTCATTGATATGGCCAGTCAAGCCAAAGAAGGCAGGCTTTACTGTTCACATAAACAGCGCAAATTCAAGTGCAACGGTTTTAACGGTGAAAGATGCGTTGAAGGATTATATGTTTGTTTCGGAGCATTTTATTTAGTAAACGAGGCACAGTGTAACGGAGGTTTCACAAAGAAACGTTTGTTGACCTGACAGCACCTGCATCAAAAACCATAGTAAATGATTTCATAATGCTTAGTCTGTAAATGGCGGTTTTATATGGATAATGTTTTCAAAACACTTACTCACATGCGATAGCGAGTGGCCGTTGATACTGTTTCCTATGCAATGATGTTAGCCAATCATAACAGTGGCCTTTTACTGACAAGCTTTAAACTGATCATTTCAGACAAGAGGGTATCTGTTTTATTTTTAAATTATTTTATTAGCATTATAAGTGAACCTCAAGGTACATATTCAAATAAAATAAAAAAATACATGTCATGTCCCCTTTGAAAAATATATATTATTTGCCAATAGTTCAAATATATTACTTAATGAATTCTAGTTCTTTTACTGTTCACTTTCTTTCTCTTTACTCCCTTAAAACACTTTAAACCCTTTAATCATTTAATTCCTTTAGACATACTTACAGCTTAGAGTTTTTTAAATAAGCCACAATAATAATAAACTTAATTTACGTAGCCATTTGCACTAAAAAGAAAGACAATATTGTAAATTAAAAATAGCAAAATGCTATTTTAGCACATTCAGCTCCTGTTTAAAATGAGTGGGTACGACGCAGGTTTTCACACTGAAATAGCGGCAGCTGTTCAGTGAATGTGTCCTGGTGACGCCGTTTGCTGGAATGAGCTGAGCCGGTACGGCCATGATGCATATCTCAAACTGCAGTGCAGGAATGTGAGTCCGGGTCGGGCTCCTCTCAGGGCGGACGCTGACGGCGGGTGCGAGTGCCGTGAAGCGGGGGAGGGGAGGCTGTGCGCGCTGGTGGGGGGGTGGTATGGCTTTTGTCTGCT